GGGCCAGGTACTATATTTAAAATTATGTTTTGCTTTGTGTATAAAAGAAAAAAAATATAACAAACCCTTCAAAATGAACAAACCATATTCTAATTGAAAAGAAAGTATATCAGAACCCAATTAATAATCATAAAATAACATTTATCTTCTGAGTACTTTCTTTGTCTTTAAAATATCATAGACAACAGATAATTTAATTTTGGGCGCAAGTAATGTGGCAACTTTGTAAAGTTCATATCCAACTTATGACTTATGAGTGTAATTCAGACCTTATAGGAATTAAGAAAGCGACCTCTCAATATATATAGTTCCATATGTATAAGAAATGTACTCTTATCATACAAGTATATATAAGAAAGCAACATTTGTTTTCTTGAAGGATATTCTCTCTTTAATACTATAACACAACCCATAAATTAAAGTCTTTGCATGAATTTAATAATACATATTACAAGATGCACATGAGTTTAAGAAATAGAAAAGATCTGTCTTGTTTTACTTCTTTTTTTTTTCTTTTTTTTTTTTGTAGAGAAAAGGGATCAATTTTAGTTAGTGAGGTAACATTCTGGCCATCAAGCAATGTGACAACTACACATTCAACTTATGCGTACACCATTCAGACCTGCAAAGAACAAAGCAAGCAGCCTCAATAAACCTCCATGCATGTTTACAAGAGATGTACCTTTATCAAATAAGTGTAGAGATGATGGAAGCATAAGACCAACTCACCATCAAATTTCACTTGGAAAGGACATGAGCCACAATTTCTTTGATCTCAATTTTCAGAATCACCTTGGCTCTACAGACATAACAACAAACAACACAATACTGACAATGAAAAGGAAAAATTGTAGCAAAAATTTTCCTTTTTAAAATCATGATTTATTAGGCATTCATACATACCTTTCTAGTTTTTCTTGTTATTTTGAAGACTCTAAATGAAGATTTGTGTAAAAAAAAGAAAAGAGAAATAGAACAAACTTAAAAAATGAAAAACTTGAGGAGATCTTTCGAATTAATGCATACAGTTGTACAGTCGAGTTTAGGTTGCCATCCCAAAAGCCTTCATCTTCATCTCTAGTCAATTTTACATTTTGTAGTTTTGGCGCTGTTATTTCATCCATAGAGAAAGTCTGCATACTTGGACAATCCATCAAAATCACCTCTTCCAAAAATGGGAACTCAAACTTGCATTTAACCGAGCAAAAGCTTGAAAGTCTTGGCAGACCACAAAGTTGCAAATACTTGAGTTTTCTAAAACCAATCTCTTCCTTCACATCATCCTCCAAGCATGTGACGGTTTCCAACAAAGGTAGCGGAGTGGCCTTTTGAGCTAGTGATTGGCTAACGCCAGGTTCATGAGACTCAAGTATCTCTTCAAGTGAATCACAGTTACATATTTGGAGCTTGTCTAGTCTTTGAAGCCTTTCCAACATACTAAATGGGAAAATATTCAATAACTTTTCACATGAAACCACACTCATCAAAGTTAGTTGGCAAAAAGAATCTACTTCGAGCTGGTTGTTCCATATCTTATTCAAGCTCTTCACATGTTCAATTACCAAACGCTTTAATTTGGGGAATGCTACCTAAAGTTTTATACAATTCAATTAAAATTAAACATGATTATAAATGTAATGGAATGAAAAATTGGAATCTAATTTTTTTCAAATGTAAAACTTTTAAGAAAATACTAATAGCATTATAAGACATTAAAAAGCAAAAAATAAAGGGAAAAAAAATAAAGGAGAAATCACCTTTGCATCAAAGAGAAAAAGTGTACAAGTGTTTTTGACATTTTCAGAACTAGCTATCATGTCTCCAAAAAAGAAGCTAGAGATGAAAGTCTTCAACACAGGGCACTTGCTTATCTTAAGTTTCCAAAGGCATGGTAATTCCAAGTAATTTCCAGAACAAAATCTTGTGAGTTTTGGAAGGTCTTGGAGCAGTAGGAATTGCAGGTTAGGGAAGAAAATCTTACACATCCTTTCCTCATCCATTGATTCTTCTGCAAGTATTACCTCTTCCATCATATTACAATCACAAATCTTGAGCCAATTTAGTTGCTCAAGACTCTTAACCATGGAGGATGTCGATACATATTCCAAATTACCACAACTCTCCACACACAACTTCCTTAAATTTTGGACATAAGAGGAGATTTCTATAATCGAATCATCCAAAATTCGTTGAATGTTATTTGAAGACAAACTCAAAAACTTCAAGTTAGGAGTCTCTACTTGCAAAGATTCTTAGTTAGTCTATTAATATAAGACAGCAGGAAGATGACTATCATATTTGCTTAATTTTAGCTGAAGACAACTTCAAAAACTCAACCTAACAGAAACTTCATGCTAATAGAAACTTCATGAAAAAAGTTTTTTTTTTTTTTTTTTTTTTGATTAAACTAAAAACATTAGAAGGATTATCCAAAAGCAAGAACACGAAAATGACGTGCAATTATGTGAAGTAAATTGATATTTTGAGTAGAAAATAATCAACTCTTTTTAGACTTAAATATTATTTGGGTCAATGCAGGGCAAAACTGAAAAAAAAAAAAATATTTGGATCAATAATCCTACTTTTAGCCTTGAGTAACTTCACATTTTTAGTGGTGATGTACCAGCTAAGGGTCTTTATTTTCTAACCGTATATTAAGTGGAACTTATTCAAGGAGATTCATTCATGTAATTAAAGAGGTAGCTAGAGATGGAAACACCGACTTGCGAAAAGCAAACATAAATATGACGTAAAATCTTAATTACAAAATATAAATATAAAAAATAAACCATGATGCTGTAAAAAAAAGAAAAGCAAAGAAAAGAAAATAAAAGAAAAGGGAAAAGAAGAAAAGAAACTAACCTTGCTGCTGAAGAGGTATTGGGACTCCTCTTTGTTGTGTTCTTTGGAGGATGTAGATGCAACAAATGTGACCATTTTTGGGCAGTCTTTTACAATAAATTCATATAAATTTGGAAGCTCAAGACTATGACTTCCCACATAGAAACTTGTCTAATATGAACAAGACTCTAGATTGATCGACGAAAGATGTGGGAATTCCACTTTATTTTTTGCTCCTTCTCCCATTATCACTTGTTCCATTGTTCCACAATTTTTTACTATTAACTTCGAGAGTTGCACCAGGCCCAAGGCCATTGAATGCGTTAATAGGTATCTGAACTTGCTACAATTACAAAATTCCAGTGCCAAAAGTTGTCTAAAATCTAAGAGTTCTTGAGGATTCTTGATATGCCATGTTTCCAACAACTTGGGAAAATTTGACAGTATCAAATGTTCTAACCCAGCAAATCCAAC